AAGATCCAACAGGTGACTTTCGGAAGCCATGCATTCATTTTTAGCCCATTATGGAATAGCTATAGAAGTGACTAATTCTTGACTTTCCCTGCTCAACCAGGAGAGCAGTATGGAATTAATCATGGCAGTAACTAGTGAGGTGTGCTTTGTTTCATGTATTAATTAGCCTTTGGTAACACTGATTTGCCTTGCACGAAATAAATGTCCATCATTTGGGTGACGGATAATACTAAGAGCTAACATTGGGATAGTAGGCTTTTAAAATACACACTATCCCCCAGCTGGTGTGGCTCAATGATTGAGTGTCAACTTATGAACCAGGAAGTCACAGTTGATTCTCTGTCAGGACACATGCCCGGGTTGCGGGCTCAATCCCCAATAGGGACTGTGCAGGAGGCAGCCGATTGATGATTCTCTCTCATCATTGATGTTACTATCTCTCTCCCTTTCCCTTCCTCTCTGAAACTAATAAAAATATATTTTGAAAAAATACACATTATGCCATTTAATACAGAAGATCACTCTGTGAAAGTACATATTGCTGTTATTCTACTTACACAGGCAGGGGAAAAAGGCATATATGAAGTTAAAGTAGCCAACATCAAACAGCTTGAAAGGAGCTCCAAATTCTTTGTCCTTTCTATCTTACTAATTTGAAAGGTAGAGACATTCTAAGGAATCTATCTAATAATAGGATAATATGCAAATCGGTTGGGATGCCGTCACATAACGACCAATCAGCAGGCTGCGTCTCTGCCCCTGGCAACAGGCCTGGGACATGAGGTTCGTGTCCCTGTCCCCTGTGCTGGCCCGGGGGTCCACAGGTGTGTGGAGAGGCCCCTCCGCCGTGGGCCCAGCCAGGGGTTCGCAGGCGTGTGGAGATCTGCAGGCCTCTGCTGTGGCCTAGCCCAGATCTGCAGGCCTCCCCCAGCTCCAGACTACCTCTTTGGGGCAATCCATGAGGAGCCCTGGATGGGTGGGCGGGGCCTTCCTCTTTGGGGCAATGGATCGTGGGGCTCCCGAACTGTGACAGGGCACAGGCCAGGCTGGGTCCACCCTCCCCCGCCCTGAGTGTATGAATTGCATGCACCAGGCCACTAGTCTATATATAAACAAAAGTATAGCCCATGCTCTCAAGGATCTTTTAAGTCCAACAAATCTGTTTTATGAATATGTTTTAGACAGCAAATCAAGGGAAGAGCAAAGGAAGTATAGAATAGGGCAGACCACCACCAAGCATACGGTCAAGGTTGATATGCTAGAGGGAGCATTTGAAGGAGGAGAATGTTTGGGGAAGAAAAAGAATGACAAAAGCTTGAAGATAGGAAAGCACAGGGATTGTTATGGAAGAGGAATTGGTCCGGGTTTGGCTAGAGCCTGAGCTGCATTTTAAAAAGTCAAAGAAAGTAGTGCAAGCTGGACCTGAAAGATAGATTAGGATCAGACTGTGAAGGACCTTGAGTATCACGCTAGGGAAGAACCTCATTCTGTAGGTTTTTTTGAGCAAGAAATGAAAGATGTGACTCTATAGAAGACCTAATAATAATCATAATAAATGGTTATATTTTTAAGTTCTGATTCAGTGCTAATCTCTTAACATACATTTTCTTATTAATGTCTCATAGTAACTGTGTGAGCAGTGTACTGTGTCCATTTTACAGATGTGAAACTGAAGCTCATTGTGATATTAAGTTTGCAAGTTTCAAACAGATATTGCTGGAGCTAGGACTCGGGCTGGGATCTGTCAGCTTCCAAAGCCTGTTTATTTCCGATAATGATTAGATTGACATTTCTCTTATCAGATCACTTGATAAGTTCTTAATTCTGTCAAGAATATGGCTGTAGGGATGTTTTCAAAGTTCTAAAAGCACTGGTTCTCAAAGTGTAATTATGTTAAGGAATATAATCACTACCAAGCCTACTTTATACTGCTGTCTAATTTGGGACCAGAGCTGGATGGGAAATTGAAGAGCTGGATGATGTTTTATTTACATGCCTTATGATAGCAACATGTGCTCATAGTCAATGTTCTTTGTGGGGTTTTTTTGTTTTGTTTTGTTTTTCATTGTTTAACCTTATTGCCCCTAAGTAAATCTTAGGTCAGGTCATAAATACTCAGTTACCGGGAGCATTTTATGATGCATAAGGAAGTGATATTTTTCCTAAAATATATTTCTTCTCAACAGGTTTTCAACTTATAAAAGACAATGACTACTGATGAAGGTGCCAAAAACAATGGAGAAAACCCAGCAGCAGCTGTTGCTGAACAGGGAGAGGATATTACCTCTAAAAAAGACAGAGGCGTATTAAAGGTGAGGCCACAAGGATGAATGATATGAAGGGAAATTTACTGTTTGTGAAAATCTTGTGTGTGTGTGTGTCTGGAGGTGGATAATGTTTACTGTGGCTAACAAGTGCCAAACATTATGGTTAAATTCTCATTTCATTCATAACTTGAGGTTTATTTTTAATCCCAGATTATTTATGGTGAAACTGAGGCCCAGAAAAACATTACACATAAATTATTATGTCATAGCTTGAGGTTTATTTATTTATTTTGTTATATATATATTTTCAATCCTCACTCGAGGATATTTTGCCATTGATTTTCAGAGAGAGTGGAAGGGAGGAAGAGAGAAAGAGAAGAAATATTAATGTCAGAGAGACATCAATGGGTTGCCTCCCACACTCACCCTGACTGGGGCCAGGGATTGAACCCAAAACCCAGGCACATACCCTTGACTAGGAATGGAACCCATGACCCTTTGGTGTGAGGTCTAAAGTGCTAACCATTGAGCACACGGGCCAGGGCTTGAGGTTTATTTTTAATCCCAGATTATAGATGGTGAACTGAGGCCCAGCTAGGTAAATTACTTGCTCAGTATCATATGTATAAGTAAATGCAGATCTGTGGTTCAGGTCCAAGTTATGTCTGACTCCAAAAGGCAGTTTCTCTTTTCTAAGTGTATACAAATGTGTTATTTTAATATAATGTTTCAGTATACTAAATCTAGCCAATAACAATTTAAAATACTTTTTTAAAGGAAAACAAGAAGACTTTGCAAAGTTCAAAAGGATTCATTGTTTTGCTGTTGTCACCAAAGGATATGTTTGTTGATTTTTTTTATTTGAGAGAGAGGGAGAGAAATATTAATCCGTTGCCTCTCGCACTCATCCCGACTGAGGATTGAACCCTCAACCTTTTGGTATATGGGCAACAGACACTTCAACCAGCTGAGCCACCTGGCCAGGCAAGGGTTTGTTTTTACATACAAATAGTGTTCCAGTGTAGTAAAGATATTTTTTGAGGTTCATTTCACTTTTTGAATTAGCTTTCCTCCTTTTAAAACGCTTTATATTTTTCTCACTCTGTAGTTAAACATTTTTGCATGTGTTATTTTTTTTGTTGTATCTCACAATGGTCTTGTAAGAAAATCAGTACCTTTGGTTCTTCTATTTATATATGGAAAATAGATATTTGTAGTCCATATAAGTGAATAAACAAGTTGAGAAGTTAAATGACTTTAGTCATATTAATTTCTCCTACACTTTTGTTATATATACAAGTTTTGTGTAATTATTAAATTGTTTTGCTGAAAAGATTATCTTATACATTCTAAATATTACCTCTAAGCTGAGTTTTGATATTTTCTTGTGTCTGCCGTAACAAACCAGAATTTTTAAATTTGTTTTGTCTAATGTTGCTTTTGTGAATGAATGCTTTTTCTGTGCCTGAATCTCTTCTGAATATGCATGTTTTACTATTAGCTTGCTGTGTGCCAAGCCAAGTTTTGGAGACTTGCAACTATAGAATAAGGGTTTTATGCTGTTGGTTTGTATCATGATACCTTCTTTCAGATGGCTTCTCAACCTTGTGGCTATATGAATTACTCATCCCAAACTCCACTATGCTATTTGAGACAGTGTGTTTCTGTAGGCTGTCCTCAGCATTTCCCTCCTCTTTCATCTTTTCAGAGCACTCATCAGAGAACACAGTCCCCAACTTGCCTCAGGTTCTGCTTTGCTCTAGGGCATTTATCTAGCTAATCTAATAATAGACAAACATGGTACTTGACTGTACCTTTGCTACGCCTCCCATTGGCTAATCAGCACGATATTCAAATTAACTGCCAACAAAGATGGCGACTAATTTGCATACTGCAGGCAAGGAGGGCCAGTGCAAGCTGCCATCCAGGCTCCCGTGTGCTGCCTAAGCCCTGCCCCTTCCTGGGACCCCCCCATGAGCGGC